CCTCTGCAAATTGTTGTTCTTCACTTTATCAAACTCAGACTTTGTACTGCTAATGTCAAGATGTAAAATTATGAATTCAGTCAAGCTCTTCCGTCCCTCCCTCTCCTGCTCTCCTGGAAACCCGACATCGGCTGTCAGAAGCGGGAGGTGAAGAAGGGGATGAGGCAAACAGAGTGAGTGCGACGTAAAGAAACCAGACTGGTGTGGAGGTGAGCAAAACAGCTGGAAAAGTGTGGGTGTTGAATCCCCCCACTGGTGCGACGCCCATGCGAGCAACCGGTAGCGGCTGCTGTCACCTGTTGTGAGCAGCTCTCTGCTGTCTGAGGGTAGGCCCCGCCCACAACGCCGCGGCTGCTGCGGTGTTTTCTTTACTGTGGGAAACGGGTAATAATGGCTCTTTGATGGGAACAGGTTGCCGACCCCTGGTATAAGATCTGAGCTGGTAAAACAAAACTCCTCATCAGCAGGCTTTTTTGAAAGTGGTGGTGGTGATGGGGGGGGGGGGGCACAGCTGCCAATCACAAATTTTGCCGGGGACATGTCCCCGGCGTCCCCGGTTAAAATGACGCCTATGCCTGACCTCCCGGCTGACGTCACCCATCCGTGTTTGAATCGTGACAGCTTCAAGATCTAACAGAACTAGCTTGCTTCCTGCTTGATTATACAGTCAAACTCATGAGTGAGCCACCATACTTTCTCGTGTCTAATTGTGCTGCAGACACGTGTAGTCAATAGTTTTGCACTTAAGTGCATTTTAGTTACATTTTTAATGTTCTGCCTGAAACTGACAGTGTTGTGCCGTTGTCAGGTAAAAACTCTGCACTGCATTTGAATTTAAATCTGCCATCGCTTTTGGCTAAGAGGTACCCTAGAACGTTAGCTGGTACCATATGATGTCACAATGTCGTTGTGAGCCTGTGTGTGTGTATATTTGTTAGTGGCTCCGCCCTCTTGGTCTGTTTGGCAACAGCATTTGTTGCATTTTTCAAACAGGAAGTGGAAGTTGAGTAAGAATCTGGTAGGGGGTGACTTGCTCTTTAAATGTTTAGTTTTTAAAATAAATATTTAGTCTGTAAAAAATTGTTTAAAGACAAAATATTTGATTTGAAAAATAGATATTAAATTAGGAAGCTAAATATTTTGTTCCAAACTAAATATGTTTTTTCACAATAAATATTTTGTTTTTAAAATAAATATTTAACTTCAAATTAAATATTTAACTTGCTAACTAAATATTTAGTTAGGAAACTTAACATTTATAAATACATGAATGACAAGGTGAATAGAAGTGTTTAAAAAATGAAACCTACTTTTTTGCTCTGATTACGAGATAAATAATTAAAAATATTGCTGTTAATTTTTGACTGTGTAACATTACAAAAGGCACCCCATATTCAAAGAGCAAAATATGTTTACATATGTAGAACTATGAAGAACACCTCTCCATCATTTGTTCACAAGCCAACTGACTTTTGAGTGTATTTGTTTTAGACTTGTGTGGGTGTTATTTTTTTTATTTTGTTTGTTTTTGTTTGTTTTTTTGTCAGATTCACCTGGGAGGAGGAGTCTACATCCGGAGAGAGGCCTGGTCAAGGATTAAAAACCAATCAAAGGATTTTTTGTTTGTGAAGGAGCTTGCAGTGGCAATCTGGGGAACAAAGACTCTAGACGAGAAAAGCCTTACAGGGAAGGCGTGTCTTACAACTAAGCACCAGGCAGCCTTTAACCCCGATGAAGCTGGAAACATTGAGAGGTATGGTATTTTTAGCTGGATTTGCAAATTGTTCTTGAGTGTTGACAAGTATGAAGGAGTAAATGTGCACAAATAATTAAATATATCAATAGACAAATGCTTTAATGTCAATAATAGATAAAATTGAATTTAAACTAGGGTGGTCATATTTCCATTTCCAGAAAAGAAATCACACTAGGGTTGGACGATATGGCCTAAAATCAACATCACGATATATTGAGGATTTAACCTCGATAACAATTTGTTTGATGCCGTTTTGCCTTGGCCCCCAAAATGCATTGAAACGGCCCTGGGTGTGTGACTGTCTTTTGAAGGTGATCTGAATTGTATCAAATGTATAAATATTACATGTGTATAACTTATTGTTTTATAAAACGTGTAGTGGAGATAAATCTACCTATATTTTACTTTCAAACACTTTGCTTTGTTTTCTTGTTGCTTTGTTTTCTGTCTGTCTCTCATCTTCCTGCATCTCCTCTAAACTCTCCAGAAAAACTATTACTTGGCTTCTTACTTTTTCACCTCATCAGTTACTTTTGAGCAGATCAAAGGGATCTCTTGACCGCAAAGTGTAGTAGGCGTTTCAGTGCTGCGTCAATGAGGTGAAACACCGCAGCACATGGATAGCGGAGCGCATCAAGCCATGTGTTGTAGTGCAACACATGGCTTTTACAAACATATATAGTACCGGACAAAGGACACATCCTTTTATGGAGTAGTTTTTCTTTGTGGTGTTTCTTTTCTTTGGACCTCTTTTCTACATTGTAGATTAATTGACATTTGCTATATTTTGTTTGCCACACATTTCCATATGTTTTCATTCATTGTTTGATGTTTTCAATTTTAATTCATACTATAGAACAAAATGAAAGAAGTAAAAAATTTTGTTTTCAAAATTTGACTGATACCCAATACTCAAGTAACAATGAAGCAAACACTGTATATACTATATTGCCTGTAGGAAACCCTGTTCATGCTTATGTGAATGATTTTTTTCAAGACTTAATACTTAGGTACTTGTCTATTTGTATTTCATTTCAGCCTGCTTCAAAGAGTGGCTCATCAATAAAAAGTTGGAGGAGCCCGAGCTGCAGCAAGATGGGTAAAAGCAGGGTGATACCTTACAGAAAAAATTATGGACATTAAAGGAGCATGGGGCAGGAATTGTCCAAAAACAAAAAGTACATGTTCATTCTTGAGAAGCTTATGGGTGATGAAGTATTTTAAACTAAAAAGAATGATGAAACCAGTTTATCATTCCATTTTGTTAATCAGACTTTGTGCTGCAAAATGCAAAACATTCCTGATCCGAATTTCCCGCGCCGTTTTGCGGATATGACGTTAATTGACGCTTCAAGCGCGTTCTCGACAAGGTTCAAACCCGGAAAAACATTTGGAAGCTTGCTAGGTGGCGGTAACGCGTCTTTCACTACTAGCCACGTTAAAACCCCAAACAGAAGAGGAAGAACCCTGGAAATGGATTCTACAACTAGCAAACGACCAAGCGCAACTCAAAGCCTACTAAAGAGTGGCACAAAGAAGAAGAAGGTTTTATCAGCGGCATCTCGAGAGTCAAAAAGAAAATATGATAAAAGTCGGTCAGGGACCCAAATATCTATTGGTTACGCTCTGGAAGAATGGAGGCTGCTTCAACTGGATTTGGGCCTGAAAAAGGATGCGGACATGGCTCATTTTCTAGTGACCAGGTAAGTGTTTGTCTCCTTATTTCTGCTGTAGGTTTCAGTAACGAGTAGGTAAACATCAGAGCTGTATCTGCACAATTTGAGAAAATAAAATAAAACTTATGGATTTAGATAATGCTGATTTAGGTAATCTAACAAATCTTTGTGCAGATGAACAAGAAACTTATCTAAGCTAACGGTGTTTAGCATATGGCTTCCTGATCAGTTTGAAAAAGCTAAAAGCAACCAAGGAGTAACCGGATCACTTCTACGTTTTGTGGACGACACCCCGCATGTGTTTGGAGATAAATGGATGCTCCGTTTATTCTGACGAGAAAAGTAAACAGAGCTTGATTTGATTATATGACGTCACCGATCAGCCGGAGAGAGCTAGCGTGCGGTAGCATTTTAGCTGTGATCACGCTTCAGTTTGTATGTACCACAGAAGAGAACGGACATTTTCCAAAGCAAAGATGAGTATTTAGAATTATGTCATATTTGATCTACAGTCCAACCTCTAAGCAGGACTGTTACTTTAGTAGATAATGTTATTCGTGGGGTTTGTGTAACAGAACCCCATCGGAATATATTTCCCTAGCGCTATTGCTGAGAATAAATAAAATTAGGATTCATAAGAATAAATATTAAGTCAGCCATAACAACACGTTTGACTAAAAGTAAAGTTGTGCAGAAGTTTGTGTTTATTTTTCTAAATTTGTCCAGTTGAATGTAGGTCAGAATAAAATATGTTTGTGAAAATGATAAATAATTTTTTTTATAACTGACCTGCATTTTCATATTACTAGTTGTGCCACAGGTAAAGAAGCTTAGCCGTTATTGATCTATGTAAACAGAAGGTGTAGAGTCTCAACCAACTTGTTGACATTTTTGTTTAAAAATGTGTTTTCCAGCTACCGGAAGAAGCAGGCTCCTGAAACTGCAATTCAGGGAGAACAGCAGCTAAAATGTGGCATCGATTATCTCCAACTGAACCTGTGTCTGAGGGGTTAGTATCTTTTCTGTAAAACAAATATTCACGGTTTTGTGCTATGATATTTCATACATTAAATTACACCTTGCATATCCACACTTGGTTCAGAACTAACATCACACCACCAAACACTTCTGACATTATCTTTACAGGGAAGATTTTCTAATGGCTGGTGTTGAGGCTTTAGCTGATGACCAAGATTTGGATCCTTTTGAAGAAAGGTAAATATGTTCATGAGAAGTCTTGCCATATACGCAGGAAATTACTGCTGTGCAAAAAATATAAAAACACAATAGATAAGCACATATAGGTCATTTTATATATTTATTTATGTTGTGAAGTGTCAATTCACAGCAGATTGTTGTTATTTGCAGAAAGAATTAATGACAGATGTATTAGGCTCCACATTTATCTCTTTAGAATCAGTACCATTTCAGGTGAGTTCCAGTATTTGTCTTTACGTACAACAAATATTATTGTGTTGTCTGTAGTTTCAAATCCATGGATCTAGCTACGGATGCAGTCCAAATTGATGAGGACCAAGCAAACAACTTAACAGTGTGTGAGTTGCAATGTCTTCTTATCTAGGGGTGGGCAATATAAACGATATAAGGTAGAAATGATATAAAATTGGGTAATGATAGTTTTTGGCTATATGGCAATACGGCGATATTGTGATAACACATGACGTCACTAAGATGTGCACCCTGATGACAATGGGACAACAGAATGACGGTGACTGCAAGCATGGAGTGTGCAGAGGAGGAGGCCTATATGCCTCAAGTGGCATATATTTGCCACATGAGGATATCTAAAAGCATGTCAATTTGACATTTATAAACAGATGAAAAAATATATCGCAATATATATCGTTACTGCACATGCTTCAGATTATATCGCAATATAGATTGAGGCCATATTGCCCAGCCCTATTCTTATCTACACTCTTTTTTTAAACTCCATAGTCTTAAAACAATATATTAATTCTACTTTTATTTATTGTTTTCATAACAGAATAGAACTGTTATGAAAACTTTGTCAGGCTGACGAAGTTTGCAGCCGCAAACAAAACGTTGCAGGTAAATAAAACCCTTCTATGTTTTAAAAAGAACTAAAAGATGGAATTGTTGTTTTATCCTTGTTCACAGGCTGGGATCCTAAAGGGAATTTCCATCCTACTTGTGTGGCTGAATGACATCTTCAACCAATTTTGGTACATCTGCCAGAAAGCACAACATCGTGATACGTTTAATGTAAGTATTGTGACATCTTTTGGACAACAAGACAACAATGCACATTGACATAATTACCTTTCTTTTCATAATAGTGCCAGCTCTCGTGTTTCTGTTGGTGAGCGCTTCTGTCACATGTAAAGTTTTCAAATAAAACTTATTTTTTCTGTTAGGACATGTGGGTGGGTGTGCTTCACCATGTCACAGGGAAGCATGAATGGACCCGTGGCAAATGTGACCATGGACCACTTGATGCAACGACCAGTGATAAAGAGCTCATGGTGCCATGATCTCCACCACACGAGGCTCTTCAACGAATCATGTTCAACAGACGCTGGTTGAAGGATGTCACCAATCTGACCTTTAGGTATATTAATAACATTTTCATAAGCAAAAAAGCTAAAGTGTCAATATCAAAGCTGACAATTTACATATAGAAATGACAATTGTGGGTGAAAAGGCAATCAAAAGTGTGATTCCTAATAATCTATAAAGTTGTAGCTTTTGTTTTTTTACAGGTCAACTTCAGAACTGGAGAGTTTCCAGAACTGCATTCTCATGTAATCTATGTATGATCTAATGCTGCTGTTCTCTCTCCATAAAGGCCCCAGCTACGTGAAGCATCAAAAGACAGGAATGACTTCTTTCATGCACACAGATTTATTAGAAATTAAGAAAAAATACTATGTACAAATGCAAATAACAGAACAGATTTTTTTATACATAAATAAAAATAAATATATTGCACAAACTGTTTGTTTATTTTTGGGTGAAAATGCTGTCTTCAGCTAAAGTTATTTTGAGGTATTGGTGTTTTTGAACTACTGTAGTTGTAGATAAACGGTTTGGATTTTTGGGTTAGGGTGCCCTCAGTCAGGAAGATGGTGTCCTGGCGTCTCTTGCCGAAACTCCAGGATATCCAGCATCACCCCTGGAAGACGGGTCACCACTCTCGAGAATATAATCTCTCTCCTCCTGGCTCAGGTGTTGTAAAGCTGTCTAGGAATTAAATAGCATATGTTTACATGACTAGATTCATATCTCCAGTGAGTGATGTTTTCGTTTTTGGCATCTATTATTTTATTTTATTTTTTTACACAAATGGCTACAACCAACCTGCATCTCAGCTATACTGGCAGCTCTCAGCTGTGCAAGCCGGTTTCGGTCCTCTTCTCTGAAAGCTGTTCGCTGCCTACCCCGGCGCCCTGGTCCTCTTGAAGGAGCTCTGGACCTCAACCTGCTGCCCTCACCCCTTGAGCGTGTCCTTCCCCGACCCTCGGAGCGACCTTTGCCTCTCCCCTTTCCTTTAGCACCTGGTCTCAGACTTTCCCACGACACATCAAAGTCTGTGGCAGGCTCGGGCACTTACTCCTCATCTGAACTGTCTTCCATCACTGCTTCCAATATGAATTCATGAAAATCAATGACAGTAATGATAAAAATGACTATTACCCTGTAGGTCTTGTTGATATTATGATTTTATTTTGATGCATTTTTGAACTAAACATTGATATTTATGTTCTTATTTACATTGTTGTGATGCCTGTCCTGTAATGAAATTGGTTTCACAAATGATGTCAGTGACTTGAAATTGGATGTTCTTACATGATGTATAAACAATAACATTAGCTTGTTAGTAATCTTAGTGCAAAATAATAACTGTAATTTGTCTAAAAACATCAGAAATCACCTGCAGCCACAAAGCCTTATGCTGATAAAGTAGCATCATGTTACTGTCTTGCTCACCTGTCACAAAACTGGCTTATGAATATTTCTTAGGAAGCAGCACTGTCACGGTGTAGGAGGTGGAGATGATGGACCATGTGTGGTTGAGCTGAGCAGGAGGAAAAAATGCAGGCTTCAGAAAAGTAAAAATGGTTTAATGGCAGGATGGGATGAACAGGAACACCAGCAAACAGCAACAATGAACTGACAAAGGACAGGGGCAAAACAGGTGGTTTAAATACAGAGGGCTAATTAGGGAAACATGGGCGGGTAACGAGGGACAGGTGAGAACTATAAGGGCAATCACGGCAGGAGAGGAACACAGTCAGGTTGGGCAGGGGCAGATCGTGACAAGCACTTGCTTTACATCACGAGTGTCATGGCTAAATTAAAATGCTAATGTTGTCATGGGATTTAACAAATATTAGACTAAAGTAACAATGTTACTTACTTCATCGCTCTACACGGTGCCTTGTTCGAGCCGCGCTCTGGCCGTACATCACTGTAACTTTTTTTTTTCTAGTGAAGAGTTTGTGCGCGCTCTCGTGCCGGGCTGCAGTTACTCACAGCGCCGAGTGCGTCGCTAATGAGTTTCGTTTCTGTTAGGTATTTTTATTTATTCATCTTTGTTGTGAAATCTTTTGTTAAATGTGTTGGGGAAAAACCTGACCTTACTTGTTTTTACGTTTGGGTGTTTTAGGAAACTCCTTTCTGCTTTAGGCATTTTGATCCAGTATCTGAAGTTTTCCTTTGTCCTGTGCATTCTAAGACCAGAGTGTTTTCCATTAGTTAAAAGCAAACTGGTCAGGTAGGAAAATTAGCTCAAATCTAGAAACTTCTCTTGTGATTGTGGAATTTGTGGGTGTGAACATTTTGGATTCAATAAAACCCCCTCCATGAGCTCGGGCTCCTTTGTGAGAGGAAAATGGCTTCCTTGTTGTATGGTCTGATTCTCTCACCCTCTGCAGAGTTTACACTTTGCAGAGCTTGTTGTCTGTTTAAGGTTTGTTACAATTTACTAAATTAAGAATCTAATCCCTCTGTGTGGGTGTTCTGACTTCCTTTAAGGTAATATAAGTTTAAGGTATTATAAGAACAATAGTATAAATTAAAATACGCAACATAATAGTGAATAATGCTAAATTAACTTAGAGAACATAGATTAAAATTACCTATCATGTGGTGGAGGATGCGGGCAATGCAGAGCTGGTGAGCTGAGGGCTTTGTCTGTGAGCTGAGTGGGGGTAAGGCTCCATTTGGCTCCATGGACGGGCTTTCTGCGCCCAGCTCTCGCATATTGATTCAGGGTCATGTAAATTACGAATAATCAATCTACGCTCTCTCTCTCTCTCTGTGTCGTCCTTTAAGGTAATGGAGGAGCTGTAATATGGGAGAGAGACGATGGAAAGCTCCGGAGGGAGTTTGGGTCTTCGCCCTCTTTCCTCAATTTCTAATTATGTAAGGTGTGTTATTTCAGGTGACGCATATAAAAATTCTAACAGTTAATGGTCTTTCGAGCAAGGTAGCAGATGCCTTCTGGTGGGAGATCGCCTTCGGGGAGCCGCATGGCCACTTCCTCATTAAAGTCCGGCCAGCTGAATTGCTCTCCGGCCGGCTGCTCCGCAGGTGAACTTCCGCCTATGGCTCTCGCTCTACCAAAACGAGGAACGCCAAGTAAGTACCTAAATTAAGTTGCACCCTTTATTTTTATAACTAATTGTCAGTGTGGTTTACGCTTGTAGTGATTTTTTTTTGCCATCCACGTTCGAAAGACGTTTCGGGCGCCGGCTAGGTAAGAGCTAGTGAGAGCTGCTGGAATTTTATCCTGGACTCCGTTGGCCTCAGTTAAACAAGCGCTGCGTTAAAGCGGCCAACCGCTGTGGGCATGGACGCACACTTCCTTTTGCAGCTGCCGACAGAAAGGTTTTGACAGATTCTGTTTAACGCTGTGTACTTTGAAGTGCGTTGAGTTATACAATAGGACATGTTGGGATCGCGACCCAATGTGTTTGTTTGCTATATCAAATAGGTACGTGAGATGTGCACTGACTTAGATAGATGTTGGCGATATGCCTGCGGCACTACAATAAGAAGTGATGTGATGTGAAGCCATGTAAAAGCGGATAGTAATGTGAAAAGAGGAAAACGCCAGGGAGGTTGTAATCCGTCTATGTCTGCGGGCATAGCACCCCGCAGGGAATGGAGGTCTCAGATGCCGACAGGAAGGATGACAACTAGCGTGCAGCACTGAGAGATGGGTGGGTCGTAATAAGGTTGGATGTGCAAACCACTATGTAAACTTACTGACGATGGTATTGTTAAATATTTCATGGTGCAGAGAGTTAATCATCGTTGTAATTGGCTAAAATAATCCAAACCGTTTTAAGATTTACTCCTTGTCATTTTGTGCGTCGGCCGACTCATTGTGTTTCTGTGTGTGAAAGCTGTGTCATGTATGGTGACTCAGGACTTCAAGGAATGTGTGTGTGTAAGACAACTGCAGTTCTGAGCATCAGTGTGTGTGCATATCTGAGTTTTTGAGTGAAACCTGTGTGATTGTGTAGCTACAATTTTGAAGTTTGAACCGGTTCTGTCTGTCTATCTGTTCTGTCGGTTCTGTCTGTTTGTCCGTCTGTCTGTCTGTCTATCTGTTTGTCTGTCTGTCTGTCTATCTGTTTGTCTGTCTGTCTGTCTGTCTATCTGTTTTCTGTCTGTCTGTCTATATGTTTTCTGTCTGTCTGTCTGTGCATGTATGAGAATGTCTGTCTGTACATGTATGAGAAAGTATGAATCTAGAGGTAATTCTGAAACGGTGTGTTCAGTTGTGTGTGTGTGTGTATGAGTGTGTGTGTGTAAAAAAAGAAAACTGTTTATCACCAGCAGGGTAGCTACAGAGGGAAGTTTAATCCCCAGAGGGATTGACGTAACAGCAATCAGAGACAGTGGTCCTCACTAGACCACTCACAGCCACTCGTTTGTTGGACTTTTGGAGGTCAAGGTCACATGTCATGTGACTGTCCCTCCTAGTCAGATGGCCCAGATAACAAGAGCCCAAAGAGGCAGGGGTTTCCAAACATAGAGGAGCCGACCTAGCCATGAGCCTGTCAGTCATCAGGCTGCCTGTTAAATCTTCCAGGCAGAGACCTCATGTCAGCTTAAAAATCTCTATTTTCCCTATAAAGGATGACATGAGAACGATTCGTGTGGCTAAAAGTTTGCTGTCATCTCCATGGGTGTGTGACTGCTGATAGAATCTTTGAAGTGATAAACTGACTTTGTGGTGTTGACGGATGAGTAAGAGGTTTAACTTAAACCAGATCCCTGCAATTTATTATTTGTTTCCTGTTAGAAACTAGATTTTCCAGGGTTTGTGGTTGACACTAATAGATCATGTAGGGTTTAGATTTCTCTTTTGTGATGAATGAGTTACAGAATTAGAAGGTGCCTTTATTATAAAGTATGATTTGGTATCAATGTGGTATAAAGCCCCATGAATAGTTTCTGCTTGGTTTTTTCATATGATGTATAACTGTAAAGAAGGTGCCTTATTGCCATTTTAAAGTGATAAACTCTTTTCCTTTGTGCAAATTCTAACACAGATCTGGTTTTACCAGATTCAAGTTCCTGTGAAGGCAGATTAGCTGGGAGGCCTAATCTATGTCCACAGATGCCTTCTGCTACTGGATTTAATTTAAGAATGTGGTTTTGCTTCGGGATGGTCTCTGTTTTCAATTGGTAAGGTTCCTTCATGGAATGCAAACCTTAGCTCAGCAACCTGTTTTGTTTCATTGGTCAGACTAAGTAAATATGGTGTAATTGTAACATTTGTCATTTTCTTTGGAGAAGTGAGCTACTTTTATGAGACATATGAAAAGCTTGGTTTAAAGTACTCTGACTCCATCCTATGTTCTTTTATTTGCAGTTAATTGTATATTGGGTTTATCT